GCGCCGCCTTTGATAGCGCCTTCTATTGCTCATCGCTCGGCGGCCACTTCAACGATATATACCGCTATGGACAACTAAGAAGCTGCTCCGACCACTGGAGCGACTTTTGGTTCTGTATGCGCACAAAGAACAGTCGGAGTGGCCAGGAAATCAAGGAGCGCATGGTGCAGGATAGGTATCGCGAGAAGGAAATGGTGCTCAAGAGTGGGCCTAATAGCGAAGATGTCTGGCGTAAGAGGAAGCCAGGAGAAGAGGTTAAAGGCGCATTTAGTAGACCTGCTGAGGTTTAGAGGCAATGATATGAACATGGGCCCATGTACGATATACTGTAGGACTAGGTGTGGAGGCAGTGAGGTTGATTGGTTCATTTACGGTCAACATCCTTCCAAAAAAATCTCTCACATGAAACATCAATCAGTACAACACTTAGCTTCTCTCACCTCGAAGATTACTAATGAATTAGAGTCCTTCTTTAAGTGTACCTTTCTATTATATTATCGACTGTTCTCGCTGAAAGTTCCATGAGTCTATTTATGCGCTGATGGGTCGTTGCATCGAATGATTGATTGATGCCTCTAACTTCTATATAAAAGCCTCCTATAGGAAATGTAGACAGGCGAAGGCTGGGGTTTATAGGTGCCTGGGATGCTTAGTTAAGGTGAGATAGCTCTAACATAAGGGTTATGTAGGTGCTCTACTGGTTAAGAAGCCTTATTGTCCTACTATCTACATCCGTTTACTATATAGCTATCCCTCTGGTACATCCCATTTCATCGTCAAATTTCTTATCTTGTTCTTAATGAAGTGCCAGCTACGCTGTGCTTAAGGAGCCTACGCCAAATTCTCTACGCAACAGCTGCTCTACTAGTGAAGCGGCTATTACAAAATGATGTGGTTTTAACACTGTACTTAATATCGGCGAACTAATGTGGCCAAATTTATTTCTGGATCTACAGTGTTGAACAGTGTTGAACAGTTGTTTGCACTCTTCACGCATTGTTGTCGCAGGCTAATGGTGTTGTGGCGCCCAAGGTGGAGGATGATAAATTCACGCATGGTACAGATTCATGACATAGTCCAAACTGAAGGACCATAGTGATCATATTTCCAGAGTTTTTGTTTGGCTATTGCTAATGGGAAGTCGCAAAAGTTGAGAGGGCACACTTATTCATTCTATTCAGGATGATAATGAGTTTATAGTGTCTTCGCAACTAGACTTTCTGAATATAGATTTTCGGCGATACTTATTCTGTATCAATCTTCTAATCTCACGGTGAGATTTCTTCAAGAACTACGTGCGAAAAAAGCTTTCCCGATATTTTCTCCTAAAGATTGCTGCTTGTGATGAGAAAATGGCCTAAATCTATCGACAAAACTTCAAGTATCCAATAGAAGCCACATACGAAGACCTTTCATAATAGTCTACTCGTCCTTGAATCACCATAGCCAGCTAGATAGCTGATGTTATCTGCAGATACTCATCTACATGCCCTTCGAATGAACACACATTTAAATTTCAATCTTCGCGAGTATTGTGTATAAAATTGTTTTCATTGAGCGAGTCGCGTCCGCTAGGAAGCAAGTTCGTCCCCTTTACCCAGTGGGAGTACAAGTAGCTTAAAAATATACTGTACTGTTAAGACAAGCGATGATGGAGACAAAAACTGAAAGCAACCAAACTGTGAGCAAGATGCTTTCTAGATATCCATTAGGCACACAGCAGTGATATACCTGATGCCACAAAGCGCATGATCATCAGCAACAGTGTGCCGTGCAAATTGGGCTTGGGAGAAGTCGGCGATCGGCGTTCAACCGCTCAGACGCTAGACCCTGTTCGGAATGCTCCAAGTGATGCGATGCGAACGTTCGATTCTCAAACTAATTCACTCTTGCAAACAACACTTCGATGTCGGCTTACTATATGGCTTAAACCAGGTGATCATCATTCATTAGGAGACACGAATTATTTCTCTCTAAGGCTCGTATCCAACACAACTAGGTCCACACACGGCAAAGGACCTAAGCACCCTCAAAAGACTAGTAGCACCCTGCGACTACCCTGTCTCACACGATCCAGACGCAGCGCGACTCTCATACTCGTCGAAAGTCTCAGGTATCGCCATGGTCCGAAATGGCAGCCCGTCGCCAGCGGACAATTTTCCGCTAGGCCATTCAGCGACATCCCCTCAACCGCAGCCCTCGAAGCGCGACAAGCGGCGCAACATGCTCGCTGAGAAGCTCGCGGAAATGATGGCATCCTTCTCTGACAACAGAGATAGCCACTATCGCGCTCAGTTGGCTGCGCTGCAAGCTGACATCAACCTGATCATGAAGGCTGACCCTTATGCGAACCAACCACTCGAGGATAACGGAGAGGAGGCCTCGGAGCTCATCGCGCAGATTATGGGCAACAACGTGCCATCTGCACCTAGCGCAGGCACAGATTATATCGCGCAATGCGGAAAACACTACTCACGCTTTGTTGACGCGGTCAATGATGCGATGGAGGAGCGGGACTACAATCTCACCATGCTCTGGGTGGGTGCCCCCTACATTCCGAGATCCTGACACAAGATGCTAACCTTGGCCTTTGTATAGAATAAACACGAAAACACGAAGAACGAAATCGAAAATTCGCATTACTACAAAGTGCAAATCGCCGAAGAGGAGCACAAATTGCTTGCCGCCACCATTCGGGAGCGCCTCGTAGCCAGCATACAGCAGCGAACTAACAGGCTGAAGCGAGAGAAGGAACAGCTTGACTTGTCCGACAGCAATGCGATGCTTCTGCACCCTAATCAATTCAGCATTGGGAACCCCGCCAGTCCCGGCGGACCGCAAGCGCCTCGGAAAACAAGAAGGACAGGACACAAGTTCGGGGATGCTGAAGAGCTGGCTGCAGCTAATGAAACCAAGCGGAAGAGAAAGTTGTTTGAGGACCAGGATAACGATTCTCCTAGCGCCTCTGCCCGGGCTATCGAGATGGGCATTGGCTCTCCGTTTCGTGAAGCCAAAGCACGTACTGTCAATGCACAGTTCGAGTCATCTGCCTACTCTCTTGAACGCTTGTTCACCGAGAAGGAGCTTAACATGGCTATGAATCAGGCCACAACAGCCGCTTCTCACTTCTTTGCAAAGATGAAGAATACAGAGGCTGCAACACAAGAAGCAACGACGAACGGCAATACCAATGGCACAAATGGAGAGCATGCTTCTGAAAACGGCGACCCTATGGACCAAGACCAGGACTCAGACGATATACCAGGCGCTTCTGACATGGTGCGCCAGCACTCATCGAACCCGCATGCGACGCGCGGCGCTACCCGGTCTGCACTCAATCCTACGGCAGCTATAGTGAGCGGACAAATACCACCATTCATCTACAATCCGCCTTTTGTTTTGGATGCGAAGATATTCCAGAAGATCAATGCGTCGGCACCACCACCGCCCTCGCTCTCGGCACATGATGTGGAGCAGGATCTGAAGCTGATGCTAAGAGAAGCACGGCCGGATGATGATCTGAATGAGAAGCTGTTGCAGGCCGCATGCAACCCGGTCAAAGCACGGGACTACCAGGTCCAGCCGCCTAACTTCTCTGAACCCGTCAATGAGATGACAAGCGCACTACGCAGCACAGCACCACATCTGGAAGTAGGAGCAGGACTGGGGGGAGTGCCTATGAGCGCGCAGAGCAGTGCTGCAGGATGGTCCGAAGGTGGTGGGAACACGCCGATAGGACGGAACGGAGAGAGAGACTCGCTTGCTGTTGGTGGTCATGGTGGCGGTGTCGCGATGAGTCGAACGGCCAGTGGAAGCGGAAGGGGACGCGGTCGAGGACGTGGAGGTGGTTAGGACGCGTCTCGGCGGTAGTCGACTTCCTATTCTACTTGGACGGTCTCTTGACTTGGACGTCACGGTCTCGTATTATACCCATGTCTGGCGTTTGGGGACGCGATGCATGTGCGGCGTTGGGCTGGATGCTGGATACATACTACTCACATGCACCGAGGTTTTGCTTTGTAGTTTCTTTGTTATTGCAGTTGAATCGGGGATGCTATGAGCCAAGAGTACTGTCACAATCAGGCAGACGCGTCGGTTCCCCCGTTTGTATTTGTATCCTGCTTCGTATTTGATTTTTTTTCCTAGTAGTACTCTGGCGTACAAGGCAGACACATTGTCAATACGGAGGTTTACCAATCAATCAAATCATGTTTTTGTGTCTGTCCGCGTGTCAAGACTAGCTGTGCATGACGACAGGCCATGTCTTCACGTAGTCAGTGAGTCAGTCAGTCAGTCAGTCGGCAAGACAAGGCGCTCATTTGCAGGGTGTATGTAGTGGTGGTAGTGCTGCATAGGCGTGTCGTCAGTCTGTAATCAGCAGCAGCAGCAGCAACAGGCCACATCATACGAGGGCGTTAATCGTCGATAGCATGGATGGCGGCGGCGGTGGAGATGTCGAAGGTACGTGAAGGCGCTGGTTGCCATGGGCGGCCATGGTGATGGCGGGGTTGCTCGCTAAAACCACTGGTTTGAGGTCATGGTGGGGTGAGGGTGCCGTCATAGCAGGCTACATGCGAGCCTCGTGCCCAGCGGCGACACAAGCACAAGCAGGCACGGCATCAACGGGCAGGCGCAACACGGCAACCCGCTCAAGACGGCAGGAGCACAGGGGGCGCCTTCCATGCATCGTATCTGGCAGAAAAAAGGCGATTTCGCCCCAGTGCAGCCGTCAGACAGCTGTTTCTAGTGGGTCGCAGAGCTTGCGGGAAGATTCTGGTTGGAGGCTTGGCACGTCGAAGCCGCTGGAATTCTGTAGAAACAAGACGTGCCAAAGCAATACAAAAACTGCTCCGCCGCCGCCTTGGGCTGTCTCTCCAATTCACTACTCACATCACATTTGAATCTTTTAAGCCTCACCCACACGAAGTCTCTGACTTGTGAGCACCTTTGCGAATTTCCTTCTACTTTGATACCCCACTACACATTCGCCTACCTACACCATGGCACCCGCGATCGGAATCGATCTTGGAACCACATACTCATGTGTCGGCATCTTCCGAGATGACCGCATTGAGATCATCGCCAACGACCAGGGTAACCGCACAACACCCTCGTTCGTTGCCTTCACCGACACCGAGCGTCTCATTGGTGACTCGGCAAAGAACCAGGTCGCCATGAACCCTACCAACACCGTCTTCGATGCCAAGCGCCTCATTGGTCGCAAGTTCGCCGATGCTGAGGTCCAGGCCGACATGAAGCACTTCCCCTTCAAGGTCATTGACAAGGCTGGCAAGCCTGTCATCCAGGTCGAGTTCAAGGGCGAGGAGAAGACATTCACACCAGAGGAGATCTCATCTATGGTCCTGACTAAGATGAGGGAGACTGCAGAGTCCTACCTCGGTGGAACCGTCAACAACGCTGTCGTCACTGTCCCAGCCTACTTCAACGACTCACAACGTCAGGCCACTAAGGATGCTGGTCTCATCGCCGGCCTCAATGTCCTCCGTATCATCAACGAGCCTACCGCCGCTGCCATCGCCTACGGTCTCGACAAGAAGACCCAGGGTGAGCGCAATGTCCTCATCTTCGACTTGGGTGGTGGTACTTTCGATGTTTCTCTCTTGACCATTGAAGAGGGTATCTTCGAGGTCAAGTCCACTGCAGGTGACACTCACTTGGGTGGTGAAGACTTCGATAACCGTCTTGTAAACCACTTCACACAAGAATTCAAAAGAAAACACAAGAAAGGTTAGAGCATTTCAGTTTTATTCCACTTTCTTGAAATTTTTATTTGGAAATTTCTTTACTAACACTGAAGACAGATCTCACCACCAACGCTCGTGCCCTTCGCCGTCTCCGAACCGCTTGCGAACGTGCCAAGCGCACTCTTTCCTCTTCAGCTCAGACCTCCATCGAGATTGAGTAAGTTTTACCTTCTAGTAACAAATTGTCTTGACATTGTTTACTGACAAAACCCTAGCTCCCTCTATGAAGGTATCGACTTCTACACCTCCATCACCCGTGCCCGCTTTGAGGAGCTGTGCCAGGACCTCTTCCGCTCCACCATGGAGCCTGTCGAGCGTGTCCTCCGCGATGCCAAGATCGACAAGTCCTCTGTCCACGAGATCGTCCTCGTCGGTGGATCCACCCGTATCCCCAAGGTCCAGAAGATGGTCTCCGACTTCTTCAACGGAAAGGAGCCCAACAAGTCCATCAACCCCGATGAGGCTGTCGCCTACGGTGCTGCTGTCCAGGCTGCCATCCTGTCCGGTGACACATCTTCCAAGTCCACCTCCGAGATCCTGCTCCTCGATGTCGCGCCGCTGTCCATCGGTATTGAGACCGCTGGTGGTGTCATGACTCCTCTCATCAAGCGCAACACCACCATCCCCACCAAGAAGTCCGAGGTCTTCTCCACCTTCAGCGACAACCAGCCTGGTGTGCTCATCCAGGTCTACGAGGGTGAGCGTGCTCGCACCAAGGACAACAACTTGCTCGGCAAGTTCGAGCTGACCGGCATCCCACCTGCTCCTCGTGGTGTTCCTCAGATCGAGGTCACCTTCGACGTCGACGCCAACGGTATCATCAACGTCTCCGCCCTCGAGAAGGGTACCGGAAAGACCAACAAGATCGTCATCACCAACGACAAGGGCCGTCTCTCCAAGGAGGAGATTGAGCGCATGTTGGCTGAGGCTGAGAAGTACAAGGCTGAGGATGAGGCTGAGGCTGCCCGTATCGCCGCCAAGAACGCTCTCGAGTCCTACGCCTACTCTCTGCGCAACACCCTCAGCGACTCCAAGGTCGACGAGAAGCTCGATGCTGGTGACAAGGAGAAGCTCAAGGCCGAGATCGACAAGACCGTCGCCTGGTTGGACGACAACCAGACCGCCACCAAGGACGAGTACGAGTCTCAGCAGAAGGAACTCGAGGGTGTCGCCAACCCCATCATGATGAAGTTCTACGGAGCTGGTGGTGAGGGTGGCATGCCTGGCGGTATGCCCGGCGGCGCTCCTGGCGGTGCTCCCGGCGGCGCTGGCGGCGATGACGGCCCAACTGTCGAGGAGGTTGACTAAGTGGATCGCTCCTCAGCAGTCTCTTTGTCTTCTTCAGCATCTTCTAGCATAGACATTTTCCATGGGGATTAGTTCACGGAGTTCTAGGCTTATGAGCCCTTTTCATTTGTTTTCCTAACTGCATCGGATGACTAACGATCAATGACTTTGGGAGGAAAAGTTTGGTGGTAGCATGTACTCTAATAATAGGGTTTATTATCCTGTGTAGAGAATTGAAATGACACTTCAAAAATACTTGACTTTGCATTGTGCTTGGTGTTTATGACTATGTGTTGACTTCAGAAGAACATGCGATAAGAGGAAGATTTGGACTATGGTCGATAGAGGCATCCGGTCAGTTTACCATCATTCCAATGACTAATGCAAAGTACAGCAGCACGAACAACGCTTTGCATTGTGGTATATCTCCGCACAGCGGAGTGGAACTAACTTGAAAGCAAAACCAAACATTCACAAAGGGCAACAACTGGTCATGGAACACCACATCGAGCGTTCGCCGATCACACCTGTCCCTCAACTTCCTCTCTGTCACGACCACGACGCGCACACCAAGTACCATCATCAACTCTCCTTGCCACACTATCGAATCTTCTCTCTTTCTCTCTACGCAAAGTCATCGCAGAGTTCAAGCGTAATATCCGCCTCCCCCTTCAGATACGCAGCCGTATAATCCGGCTTGGGCTCCCCGTACCAAAGAATCTGCTCCACGGGCTTGCCGTCGCTATTATGAATGCGCAGCTTCTTCCCCTTGAACCCAAAGCCATTGACGGTACTCAAGCTGTAGTACAGCCCCGTCACGTTGCTCCACGAATACCCCAGAATCAAGATGGGCTGCGGGTTATTGGGGCCCGGTTCAGTCGTTGTCACTTGGATGGAGACGCCGGTGCCGTGGTCGGGGTTCCTTTGTTCTTCGGAGAAGGTAGAGCCTGGAGTGATGTTTTGGGCTGGGCCTGCTTGGCCTTGGACTGGGATTACCCACACGGGGAAGTCGCATTTGTTGTGTACTTTGGCTTGGGCTGCGGAGGCGGTGCTGGCGGAGAGGGAAAGGGCCAGGATGGGGGCTGAGAGATACATGTTTGGGGAGGGAATAATGGAGCGGTTTTTTTTTAGAAAAGACGAGGGATGGGAGCGGATGATGAGTGTGAAGTTACTATCAAGCTTGATTGAGATGCTATGGTTATTTGGGCTTCATTGGGGAGGGGGGATCTCAACCTCGTTTTATACCCGTCGAAAACGCCTCAATTCGCCTTTAGTATTTCCCACTGTTCCTGTATTCAATACCTGATCCAAAGGTAAGAGGTCCAGCAAGCCAGTGCTACATCACTATCCGCATGAGTGCTCTTGTACCAGATACCAAACATAGCATCGTCTCCCAATTGGACGCACGTGTTCAGATGATTTCGTATTCAGTACAAGGTAATGGTCTTTGTTTCGTTGGAGCAAGGTCTTAGTTCGATGGTCCAACGTGGTGCAATAGACAGCATGGCCAAGCTCTTGAGGTACACATGGTGCAACTACCCGTACCGTCCGCGGCAAACTAGCAAATACCTCGCGAGCCAATTGATGGAGCCAGCGCATACAAGACCCTTCTCTTGGGTATGCCGAAAAAACAAGATTGACGGGAGTAGGGCGGGGGGGAGGGGTGAAGGATTGCGTGTCAATACTGTTGTGCTAAAAGGCTGTCACAAAGCCATGGGCGGGTGTTCATATGGAATGTTCCGGTCACTGGCTATGCCCATGTGACTATAATGGTCTCTTTGGCATGCTATTGACTTGTCTAGCTGAAACGACTGTGGCACTTTCTAAATAGAAGGAGAACATCTAGCTTCTACCATAGTTTTTCTCTTGTCACTTGAATTTCAAATGGAAATACAGTCGGTGGCTGAGTTTTGTACTGTACACTACGTTTGAAGAAACTCTAGAGCCTAGTGTCGTTATGACCCTTGTGTAAGCGACTGAGTGAGTGTGAAATCATGATATTGTCATCTTGTTTTGCATATTGCAACTAGCGGACATGACAATTAGTGGGATAACCAGTTCTCAGCAGTAGTGATATTTTAGATGGCTTTTTTTTTACGAAAACGCTAGTCTGCATCATAATGAACGCACGTAGATACATAGTATCAAACCATGAGCCTTACTATGGAGGAGACAAGCTATCTTCGCCCTATATGTCCTACTATACAATGTCCGCCTACGCAGTGTCCTCCTACGTAGTGTCCACCTAAGTAATGTCCGCCTATATAATGTCTGTCTACATAGTGTCCTCCTACGCAATGTCCGCTTATATAGTGTCCGAATACGCAATGTCCGCCTACACAATGTCCGCCTCCGTAACATCCGACTCCGCAATGTCCGACTCCGCAATGTCCTGCTAGGTAGTGTCCTCATATGTCAAGTCAAAGCACTAATCAGCACATAAGCTCTCACAATCGAATAAAGCTAGAGCTGACACAAAAAAGATGTGATGTCAGAGATGCTCAGTAATTATCATTTAAACGTGAGGCACTGCCTTGATGAGTTGTGCACTAATGAGGTTCGTGTCGATCCACGTCCTCGACAAAGGGCCCCATTCCCACCAAACTTAGCTAGCCTTTATCATTAGCAAGAAAAAAAACGCTATGCTACTGCAACAACCCTTCTCTAAGAAAAAGTAGCAAAAAAAGACTGATGCATTCCGACACCGGGAATCGAACCTAAGGGGATTGTTAATAAGAGGTTATCTTATAAGTCGGTTGGAAAGTACTAACCCGGGCCTTGCCGGCACTTGACAGTGAACTGACTCTGCAATGAGAGCGGCAAATCCTAGCCACTAGACCATATCGGATGTGTGTTGATTGATGGAAAAAACTCGAATTTCTTTATTTATATTGTGCAACAAAAACACACATTTCGGCAGACTGCCATTGGTGTCAGAGTCACGGCAACTAAGTGGAGCGAAAAACGAGTACAGCAGGACAAGACAAGAACTACTAATATCACCCCTTCCCATTTTGGCGTAGGTCGAAAATGTGGCCGGACGACGCATTGCAATGACACAAGTGTTTCATGTGACCGCAGGAAAGTCAAAATGTATCAGAGGCAGAGATTCTTGATCTTCCATCGGATAACAAGATTTTTTTCTACGTACAGGCATATGACCACTATCTGAGATGCTAATTGCTCGCATTGAGCACTCGGAATAGTATTGCGCAATGTCAGAGCCTGACTTCTCTGTGGGAAAATGGCTCATCCAGACCAAAACTATAACAAGCGCCGAGAATGACTCTTGGATACGCTGCACTTAGTGCGGTCATGCTAGACGGACCAGTGTAATCCTAGATGACTCCCGGTTTCGCCGCATGCCCCGCGCAACAAAAAAAGTTCCCCGCGACCATTGACTTGAACTCGATATTTGGAAATCCTCGCGTCAATACTTCAGCAATGGCACCGAAAAACACGGCATTCGACCTGCAGAAATGCGCGCGACCCAACATTCTCGCGTTGGAGCCGTACCGATGCGCGCGCGAGTAGGTGAAGCTCAATGACGCTCATTGCGGTACTCGGACTGACCCAAGTACGTAGTGACTACAAAGACGACGGAACCAACATTCTCCTCGACGCGAACGAGAACGCGTACGGCCCGGGACTTTCATTGACGGGAGAGACCAAGTCAAAAGCCAATGGCGCATCCGACTCATCGTATGCGATTGACATTGATTTGCTTGGTCTGAACCGCTACCCAGATCCGTACGCACGCCGCTCTGTATCCTGTGCTGGGTCAACAATACTGACACATGCCCACGCAGCCACCAAGAAGAACTCAAGCAGCTACTATGTAATCTCCGAAACACGCACACGCACACATCGAAGAAGATCACACCAGCCAACCTGTTTGTTGGCGTGGGCTCGGACGAAGCTATCGATGCGCTGATCCGCGCCTTCTGCGTCCCAGGCAAAGAAAAGATCCTCACATGTCCACCCACATATGGCATGTACAGCGTATCGGCGCAAGTCAACGATGTGTCGCTCGTCAAGGTGCCCCTGCAAACACCCAGCTTCGACCTCGATGTACCCGCGATCCTCGATGCGCTGGACCAAGACAAGAATATTAAGCTAGCATATCTATGCTCGCCAGGGAACCCAACAGGCAAGCTGTTGAAAAAGGAAGACGTCCAGCGTGTCCTAGAGCACCAATGGAACGGTGTCGTAGTGCTAGATGAGGCATACATTGACTTTTCGCCCGACGGCACCAGCCTGGCAGAATGGGTATCTGAATGGCCGAACCTTGTGGTCATGCAGACGCTCTCCAAAGCCTTTGGCCTCGCCGGTATCCGTCTGGGCGCTGCGTTTGCCGACCCGGCAATCGCTCAGATCCTAAACAACATGAAGGCGCCGTACAACATTCCCAATCCCACTAGCCAGCTTGCGCGCGCGGCTCTGTCCCCCAAACACCTGGATGTCATGCACAAGAATCGCAACGCAATTGTCGAGCAGCGCGATCGTATGATTCACGAATTGCCAAAGATTGCGGGCGTTGGTCCTTTGCACGGCGGCACAGAATCGAATTTCCTGCTCTACCAGATACTCGATGCGCCTGCGGACCAGGGTGGCAAGCCGTCAAATGAGACTGCGCTAGCGGTATATGAGGGGCTAGCAGAGGAGAAGGGTGTAGTGGTTAGGTTTAGAGGCAAGGAGCATGGTTGCTTGGGATGCCTAAGGATAACGGTGGGTACGGAGAAGGAAGTGGATCGGTTTTTGCAAGAGCTTCAGGCTACTTTGAAAGCGATCCATCAAAGAACGGGCAAATTGGGAGGCAAGGATGAGGAACGGAGAGAGAAGGAAGCGAGTGATGTCGTGGCATAAGGTTTCGATGAGACGTAGATGAGAACTGGACATGGCAATTCGGGTCTTTCCGTGGCAAGGTTGCAGTCGCAACAAATGATCGACATGGCCGTTTGTTTACGTGTCTCGGGTAGATAACATTTAACTTTCGTTCCGTTCCTTCTCTGAACATCATTCCGCTCGCACGTCCACATCCTCATACATCCATGTCTCGTCGTCCCCACCACATGGAGCATACAAGCACTTTCTGATACCTCCGTCTTCAAATACGGGCACAACATCGCGCTCCGCCACCTTCATGGCCCACATGATGATCCTCGCGCCCAGGTGCTCAGTCCGACCACTGATAAACACAGGCACCGTGCTATCAGTTGGTTGATTCACAAATGTAAGACCAAGGTCATCAAGGACGTCGCTGGGAGTGGCGCTAGGATCAGCAGAAGGAAGGTGCACAAAGTCTACGAGATGTTCGTCAACAAAGGTATATGTTTCTACGTCTTCGATGCCGTCTTCGAGCATGGGAAGCGCGTGCTGGGCACATAGGCTGCGCAAGAGGGTAAAGACAGACACCTTGTCCGTTTCGGGCGTTGTTAACATTATAGAGATTAGCACGGTAAGCAGTAAAGCCCATTCTAGACTGTCGTCGTGAGTCTTGTCCAAGCCATGTTTTTGGAGCGCATTTGTAAACTTTGCTCCTGCTGTGGGCAAATCCTTTTCGAAAATCGATAGGACATCAGACAAGCTATGCAAGGACCTGTTTGAAGCTTCTTGGTCTGATGCTCGGAGCCTGGCCACTGCAGCCTGGAGTTCTTGCCGCACCGAGTGAATGATGCGGGCTTGACCGTCACGGTAAATCTTTGCATACTTTTGCTTGGTGTTTTGGGGTTCCTGCTCTATACGGAAAGGGAGGGAGGCGCATCTCTGCTCCAACGCCTGATGTAAAAGTACCAAGACCTGTAGTGTGATCCTTGCTCCAGGTCGAGCAACGTCGATGCTACCTATATCCACTTCGGCGGTAATGATTGTCTGGATGAAGAAGAAGTGAACAATATACGGGGGCACGCCGCGGAAAAAGGGGACGTTATTGTCATAACGCCCGAATGGGTGACCTCTGGTACGCAAAAAGTGCTGTTCTTTGTTTGGATCTGTAGCGAGGAAATCCCGAGTCATTTCGAAAGGCACGTTCTCGCCATCTAGTAGGCCGAGCTGCTGCGCGTATTGCTGCAGCTGCGGCTGAAACGCTAGTTTCAAGGCAAACTGCTCAATTGGGTTGTCCTCGAGACAGAAACCGTATCCGAGGAGCAGCTCATCGTTCTGCTTGGGAGCATAGTTGTTGAAGAGCTCCTCTCCCGGTTGGACAGAGTCGGCTTGGAGGCACTTGAGTGCAAAGGAGCGATGTGGCTCAAAGTCCCATTCAACCTTTGCAGTGACGGAATGATTTAGAATATCGATGACTGGGAAGAGCATGGGTATTGTCTCTCTGCCAGGTAAGATATGAGTGGAGATGAATGCGCGCGAAGTGAAGATGGTAGCAGCCCATTGCAGCGATTCGCTGACTAGTGTTAGCAGGGTGTGTATGGCGTCTGATGTAATGTGCAGACAAAGCAAATCAAATTGGTCATTCAACACGTAGAGAGCATCACGTATTCAATTGCCGAGTGGACAGCATGGGCCTACTGCACGCCTGAGACAGCATGTTTGGGCTGCTTCGAGTGGCCTGCACTAGGAAACTTACAGAGAGATAACGTCAGCCAGATGCACGTCAAGGTGCTTTATGACTTGCACGGCGTGCTCCCATTGCTGGTGTAGCTCAGCCTTTCTTTCTTTTGCAGCGGGCGCCAAGGATGTGCCAGCCAGAAAGGCGAAGTCACCATGATCAAACCAGAGAGGAGTGGTCATGTCTTGAGGCCCAGGTAAGCAGGCTAGGTAAGCGCTCCAAGGCGAGTCGTTGCCCTTGTCGCGCTGCTCTAGCAACATAAGATAGGCCAGGATATGGTCTGGGATCTTGTCTCGACATTGCTGCAAAGGTGAGTGGACATGTTGCACCTCTTTCTCACCAGGGTCTAGGTTGAGGATGGAGAGGGTAAGGTTGAGCGGACACGAGGCCACGACAGGCGAGGTCAATGGCGTCCGGGCACACAGATGGAAGCCTTGAGCGTGCGTGTAGGCGAGCTGGACATGCGGGCTCAGGTGGCCCCCATGCTGGACGAACCAATTGACGAGATTCTCAGCTAGTGAGTGAGGAGCAACGTCTAGGGCTGATGTGTGCTCCGTTTGGGAGGCCATGAGCGACAAGGTTTGAGCCTTCCTACTTGGCGTGATTGATCAGATTTTCAAATGGACTCGTTGCAGGCGCGATGGTGCAGAGCTTGTGCGACGATTCGGAGGGTGGTTCGTCCGATGGAGTTTTGGAGCGGGCGATGTGCAGCTGACGAGAGCTCGGGGTCTCGGGAAAAAAAGGAAGTGTGCGGAAGACGGACGCCGGGAGAACCGAAGATCGGACTCAAGGCGACATGTGGTGGCATGGTGGTGAGCAGTTGCGGGGCCTTGCAGCATGGGTTGCTTGTCTCGGCGAGGTGCGTGTCATTGTCGGTGAGGAAGGAGGGGTGGGAGGAGAGTGCAGATGGAAGGCTATTGCTATGCCAGAGGCGGTGGCTGGCCTGGGGCGTAGCATACATACATACATAGACACAGACAGACGGACAGACAGACAGAGTGCAGCTAGCCTCGGGTTTAAACATGCTAGTACCTACATGCCTACATACTACTCGCAGATTACACACCAACACGTTACTTCCTTGGGACATCCGGCGGGGCCCACTCGGTAGTGGTGTATCGTACATATGATATAAGTACCGTAATATGTGCAGGATATCGGGCCTCGGCGGGTATGGCTCTTGCTTGGCCCCAGATGGTGTGGTGGTGTAGGGCCGATGGACAAAGTGTGGAGAGGGCGAGATGGATCGATAGGTACGTAGTAAGTATGTACACTAGGTCGCATCACACTGCACAGTCGTGAGCGTTGGAAACTGTTCGTGGGCCAGCCTATAGCGGGCGCCGTGGGAGCCGGACGTCGATCCAGGCAGCGGTACCGCTCGAGTGCGTATCGTATAGGCCGTATGGATGCGTGTGCGTATTCAGAGCGTATGGGCGGAGGCAAGTATAGTAGCAGGCGAGGCGGATACGGCAACGCGAGCCAATCAGGCCGGCCCCGTTGCTAGCAGAGTCTGGGCCGGACCTGGCTCGTGTCGTGGTTTCGAACTGGGAGCGGGCGTGCGCTAGCGGGAGGTCGACGGTTGACATGACGGGCGTCGCAGCCTGCCTGTGTCTTGTGCGTCGACAATGCGGACAAGAAGTAAAGCCCTTGTCCGCCGCCGCCGTGCGCTGAATGACCTCTGGCGGCGGCCCTGTTGACCTCATCTTTTTCCTCTTGTCCTCTTTCCGCCCCCCGTGTCCTTTTGCTCCCTCTAGTCGGCGGGTACTTGTGTTCCTGGCGGCCTGCCTTTGCTCGTTGCATGTTGCCTACACACTTGCTGGTACTGTATGCATCCCTCAGCCTCTCGTACCCCTGCCCTGCATAACTCGCTGCTCGTGCTCACTGTGGCTTGTAAGTCAGACACTCGTTTGGCGCTTGACTGGACAGAGGCCATTCCTTTATAATACCAATGGCCTCGCATCCTACCGCCAGTATTTCCCAAATTGCTGACAGTCTCCCCAGAATGCCTCTTCCCTCTGTCCCGTAGCCGGAGCAATGCTGATGGACATGTTGGCCGCCAATCCCACTACCACCGCCGCCGCCACAACTAATGCCTCCTTCCTCCACAAGCCACTCTCCCTCCTAGGCTCCGTCTTGCGGGGCCAAACCCCCTCCCCTGACATGTCCACAACAACAACAACACACAATATCCCTCCGGCCGACCATTCTTCCTCTCGCCCTGCTTCTGCCGGCAGCGACACCACTGCCGAAAAGGTCAAAAAGCCCTCGCGCCGCTCAAAGACGTCCTACAACATCGCCCGCCCCATAAACACTCGCTCAAAGCGCCACGTCCACCTCCAGCTACACCAGGTCATTGCTTCGCAGCGCCCCAAGCCTGCCTACGACGTCGTCCCCTTCTCCCTCCTCCCTCAGCGCTCCACTCGTCGCATTGCCCACTTGTTCAACACCAAAGAGCGATTAGGCCCCCACGACCTCCTTGTTGTCAAGGCCGGAGCCTACACCTCGCAAGATGAGCAGGAAAAGTCGCGCCACGATGACTGGGCCTCGCGCGATGTCGTCGGCGTCCTGAGCACACGCAAAAGCGACAACGGCCTTACCGAGACAACCGACATCTGCATCAGCGATGGCTTCAGTCGCTGGTCAGTCGCAGACATGCCCAATGGAGGCTACGAATTCACCTCCACCGACGAGCATGCTGTTGCACTCAAGGCACGCTGGGTACTCAAGCCTGCACATGCCCGTCGCACCTCGGCCTCGGTATTCACTGCGCCCGCGCCAGAGGACAAAAAGTTCACATTCAGCACAATCAGCTCCGACTCGAGGCGACACCCCATCATCGCCACAATGACACGCAGCCGCATCGACGTCATGGACACATACACCATTCCCTCGGCCACCTCTCCTCCAACCCCAAACGCATCCTCGTACACCCAATCGCCTACAACACCTCTCAGCATCGACTCCGATTCCTTTGCTGACGCCCTTGCCGAAAAGCTTCCCATTGAAACAAATGAAGCCCTCCGCAACCTCATACTAGTGTCTGGCGTCTGGCTTGCTTCGAGAGAATTTGCCTCGGACGGCTCCAGCCTAGCCACCATTCCAGCCCTGACTCGGAGCAATTCAGTCCGCCAGGCCGCTCATCGCGCATGTTCAATGTCTATGCTCGAAGGCCCTCGCTCACCATCGCCAGCCTCAACAGTCGAAGAGAAGCGTCGTTCGTTTCCACGAATGTTCAAGGCCAGCATCGAAGGACTGTCCCATGCACACGCTGATGCTCCTCCCTCTCCTGCTTCCACTAAAACAGCGGTCAAGGGCTCCCCGGTGGTCACAACACGTGCACGGAGAGCAAACTCAACTGGCACTGCGACACACAGCATCACTGGCAGTGCGAGAAAGAGATACGGTCTAGCTTTCGAAGACGAGACTCTGGTGGAAAGCACAGAAGAGCGCCAGATGAAGCGCAGCATAGAGTTACTTCGTATTAGAGAGCTACAACTTCCTTCTCCCATAGAGCGTCCATCTGTTGAGACATCTCGACCATCTCTCAACCAGATTCCTTCTCCTGTCGTTATACCTCCTTCTCCAGTAGAGCCGACCTCGCCTGCACCGTTGCTCGACTCGCCCTTGCTCTCCCCGTCTCTCCCGGACACGAAGCGACCACGAAAGACGCAATCTACCTATGCACCCATTACAACAACCGGCATGTGGGATTCTGGAGTTGTCGATGGTCCCGGCCTAAAGAAACGCCCTACCAGCATGTTTGTCATGAATGAAAAGAAGCGCAAGCAAGAGAAGAAGGGCGACCGAAGTAAAAGCAAGGATTCAAAGACGAGGAAGGGCGAACAGAGCAGCGATGACGGCATGGGCGTCAAGAGAAAGAGCGACTGGTATGTGTACAAGATCAAGCTTCGCCTCAAAGACATGTTTCATCACAAGGAGAGGGCTTAATTGCGAATATGCCCTCCCAGCCATGACCTTATATTCTGGTCTACACTTCTTTTCATTACCTTCGGTTGGAGTTTTCCTGGAGCATTTGGGCGTGGCGCAGGATTTTTCTTGGGTTTTCTTCTCTTTTCATATTACAACGACTATTGGCAGAAGCAGGCTGGACCTGTTGGTTTGGACTTCTTTGTCCAATCCCTATCTCTAGTGTACACTACGCTCTCCTTACTTTCTAACCTGTAGATACCTTTGCCTCTTTGGCCACCTAGGTCAACGTCACTCCCTCCGCATTTTTTCATTTGTTTTGGTTAGGTTAGGAAATTCGCAATTTCTTGCACCAAATACAAATTATTAAAAATCATCATGCATTAAAGATGCTCATTTGCTCGACTTTTGTCAATAGGACCGATAATATCTCCGAACTCCACCTAGCGCTCTTTTTTTGGGTCCGTCTTTATTACCTTATGCAGCGGGTGGGTGATCCCCTCGACCAAACTTTGCGCTAGGATGATGCCAGTGAGACGGTGCTTACATCCTACCGTATCTTTACTATGGTGCTTATCCTGGTCCCAGGGTTCAGTGTCCCGTTCCTTCTCAATCGATGCCCGTTTTGGAATATAACCCAAAATCAACCTTTGTGTTTTGTCTGGCCCGGAGGACCGGACGTCAATATCCGAGATCCGAGAGGCCGAATTTTTTTAAAATTTTCTTTCTTTTACAAGCCATGTGCTGTATCCTAGTGCTAGTATGAGTATTTGTGGGCACTTTGACGTCCGGTTCGGCCGAGTGGACTGTGGATCAACGGAGGAGGGGGAAATCCGAGATCCCCTTCTTGCTTTGGTCCTTGATTTGCCGAGTCGGCGTCATGTGCAATGTTGCTTGCTAAGAAGAGCTCGAGATGAACACTTTTCTTGGCATGTTTCTACTCATAAGCATGAACAGGTTCCATGGGCTCCCGCAGCATTACGATTGCGTGGTGCCATTTGCCACCACTGATCTCGATGTCCTGACCTCGCCTTGGTAGGAGAAGAGCCACGCAACTCCTGTCTGTTGGACTGGTAAAAGAGAATGGCGCTCTACCCCTCATGATCACTAACCTGGTGTTTTGCATTCGAAGCTGCAGACTGGGTTTGGATGTCGCGCTCACCTTTGGCATGTGAAAGGTGTACCAGAGGCTATTATCGTCGTAGGCCTTGACGCCTTTCATGCCACCATTCCCCTCTGCCACCATCACACCCAAAGGGCAATCTATCACAGCTCTCTCATCGTCTTGCTTTTCACAATGGACGTTGTGGTACTCGTGGTTCACTGCAATACAACTCGTGAACTCCTAAAAGCCCCGCACTAGCGTCCGACTAGCGTGCCTTCCCCTGCAGCCTCTCGCTTTGGCAACGCAAACGCGTAAACACTGACCCTCATGTAGCAAAACACGCCTTCACATTCAACCTCATCGCCACCACGCCTTCCTTTCGTCTACATTCGTTACGTCTTGCCCGTATCTTATTACCAGAACAATCACGTCTGACAAGTGTTTTTTTTTCTTTCGCACTTGTCCCCCGTTCTGGGGACTCGACTTTAGCCCACCATGTCCGACTCCCTAATGGACGACTCTGTATTCGACGAAGGCGCGAGCTCTGACTTTGCCCCGCCTGCAAAGTCCGCCAAAGTCACCAAGGCAGCGGCGAAACCAAAGGCACCCGCGACAAAGAAAGCAGCTGGTCCTGCAAAACCTCGAGGCAGACCTGCCGGCGCCACTGCAAAACCAAAAGCGAAGGCTGCACCTAAGAAAAAGGCAAAGGCCGACTCAGACATCGAGAACTCAGACGTAGACATGGATGAGGACCCTGCAGATGTCGATGAGTCGCTGCTCGCAGACACCCCAAAGGCCAAAAAGGCACCAGCCCCTAAGAAGCCGAGCAGTAAACCCTCCGCAGATGTCGCCAACGAGAGCTTTGGCGGGGATGGTGATGAAGAGCCAGCTGCAAAGCCCAAGAAGGGCGGTGCCAGCAGCAAGTACCAGATGGTGAGTATTGCCATTGCAATTGGCGAAATACCGACTAACACAATCATAGTTGACGCACTTGGAGCACATCATGAAGCGTCCTGATACATACATCGGTTCCGTAGAACGGCAAACGGATAAGATGTGGGTATATAATTCAGAGAACGAGTCGATGGAATACCGTGACGTGTCATACGTTCCCGGCCTGTACAAGATCTTCGACGAGATTCTTGTCAATGCTGCCGACAACAAACAAAACGACAAGAATATGAGTGAGATCAGAGTAACAGTCGACCGGGAGAGTGGCGAGATCTCCATTAGGAACGATGGCAAGGGAATCCCAATTGAGATTCATAAAGTACGTTGCCTATGACAATTGTAGAATTACCTGCTGACTCGGCTAGGAACACGGCATATATGTACCAGAGATGATTTTTGGTCACCTTCTCACCTCGTCCAACTATGACGACGACCAACAAAAAGTCACGGGTGGACGCAACGGTTACGGAGCTAAGCTCTGTAACGTATTCAGTACCGAATTCACAGTCGAGACCGTCGATTCGAAACAGAAGAAGAAGTACAAGCAAACATGGACGGAGAACATGAGCAAGATGGGCAAAGCCAAGATTACAGACATCAAGGCGGACGATTACACCAAGGTCAGCTGGAAGGCCGACTACGCCAGGTTCGGCATGGAGGGCATCGACGACGATTTTGAAGCCATGGTCAAACGCAGAACCTACGATATGGCCGGTACGCTACGGGGCGTGAAGGTTTACCTCAACGGCGAGCGCATCAAGATCACATCGTTTGCCAAATACATGGAAATGTACACAAAGTCTATCTCGCGCGACCAGGGCAACAGCGAAGATGACAAGGAAAAGGATGTCATCATTACCGACAAGCTCGAACGCTGGGACATTGGTTTTGCCGTTTCAGATGGTGCCTTCAACCAGGTATCCTTTGTCAACTCTATTGCGACAACATCCGGTGGTACACATGTAAACCACATTGCCGACCAGATTGTTGAGAAACTCATGGCCATTGTCAATAAGAAGAACAAGGCCGCTGTCAAGCTCAAGCCTGCACAGATCAAGAACCATCTTTTTCTGTTTGTCAATTGTTCCATCGTGAACCCTGCCTTCACATCCCAGACAAAAGAGCAGCTTACTACCAAGCCCAGTCAGTTTGGCAGCAAGCCTGTCCTCAGCGACAAGTTCCTGAATGCCATTGCCAAGACCGATGTCATTCAGAACATCATGCACTTTGCTCAGCAAAAGGCTGACCAGATGATGAAGAAGACCGATGGCAACAAGCGTAACCGAATCAACAACGCAAAGTTGACAGATGCCAACAAGGCAGGCACCAAGGACGGACATCTTTGCACTCTCATCCTCACTGAAGGTGAGTCAGCTAGTGTCCTTGCGCTTGCTGGACGTGCTGTCGTCAACCAAGACTTGTTTGGTGTCTTCCCACTTCGTGGTAAGCTTCTCAATGTCCGCGACGCCACGGTCGATCAGATCATGAAGAATGCCGAGATTCAAAACATCAAGAAATTCATGGGTCTTCAGCACAAGAAGGAGTACACAGTGGCAGACATGAAAAGCTTGCGTTACGGTCATCTCATGATTATGACTGATCAGGATCACGACGGTAGTCATATCAAGGGTCTACTCATCAACTTTCTTCAGTGCCAATTTCCGAGCTTGCTCAAGATCCCAGGCTTCCTGCTGGAGTTCATCACGCCTATTGTCAAGGTCTGGAAGGGCGACCAAAAGAACCCACGCAGCATGAAGAGTTTCTTCTCTATGCCAGAATATGAGGAGTGGAAAGAACAACACGCTCATGAAAAGGGCTGGAATCACAAGTACTACAAGGGATTGGGTACCAGCGACATTCCTGATGCTCAGATTTACTTCAAGGATCTCGACACCCACATGAAGCGCTTTCAGGTCATGCGAGAAGAGGAGGAGAAGCTCATAGAATTGGCTTTCTCGAAGAAGAAGGCGGATGCTCGTAAAGACTGGCTACGCGACTTTGTACCAGGTCGGCATCTTGACCTGACCACTCCGGACATTTCATACGACGATTTCGTCAACAAGGAGTTGATTCTGTTTTCCATGGCTGACAACGTGCGATCTATCCCGTCTGTTATTGATGGCCTAAAGCCCGGTCAGCGCAAGGTAATGTACACTTGCTTTAGGCGTAACATCAAGAAGGATGTCAAGGTGGTTGAGCTTGCTGGTGCAGTCTCCGGATCTACCGACTATGCTCACGGAGAAGCTTCGATGCAGGGAACCATTGTCGGTCTCGCGCAGAATTTTGTTGGAACCAACAATATCAACTTCTTGGAGCCGAGTGGTAACTTTGGTTCTCGTCTCAAGGGTGGTGCCGACGCTGCCAGCGCCAGGTATATTTACACCCGTCTGACACCGTTTGCAAGACGTATCTTTCATCCCCACGACGATGCGTTATTGAAGTACGGCGAATCCGATGGCAACAAGATTGAACCGGAAATGTATGTGCCCATTCTGCCTACGATCCTCATCAATGGTTCAAGTGGTATCGGTACTGGCTGGAGTTCTGAAATTCCTAACTTTAACCCCATGGATATCATCGAGAACATCAGGCGCCGGATGCAACCAGGGGCTACCAAAGAAGACATGACTCCTATGGTTCCCTGGTACAAGGGCTTCACCGGAACGACTACTGTGCTCGGTCCTGACCGCTACCAGTTCACGGGTACTGTTCGACAGACTGGTGATAATGAGATTGAAATCACTGAGCTTCCTGTTCGCTACTGGACCCAGGACTTCAAGGAGAAACTTGAGGAGATTATCAAGGCGGAAAAGGGCCCCTCGTTTATCAAGGACTACATTGACTACAACACCCCAGATCGCGTCCACTTTGTCATCAAGATGGAGGACAAGTACATGGCGGCCGCTCTTGCTAAAGGCCTTGAGGAGATGTTCAAGCTATTCAAGCCTCAAGCCACCAGCAATCT